CTATAACAACACATTACGTATGGTGGCTGTTCAGACATTTTACAACATAAATCAATGTTTTTCTAACAAAAAAAATAAAATATAGAATTTCTGAAAAAAATAAAAGAGATCCCAGTGGGATCTTAGTGACATCCATCATATGATCTTTATTGAATCTGTATCATCTTCCATGTTATATTTCCACTCTGTCGCTCTAACAGATAAGTAATCACTTTTATTGATAGGTGAGTGATTTATATAATAACAGTTTAAAATAAATATAGTGACATTATTTATTAAACAAAGAAATCCCATCTGTGAGTGAAATTTGAGAAAAATCAAACAAGTATGTGAAAGATCAATTGAATCTTAAATCATTTTCTAAACTGAACTTTAGAATTTCATTGATGCCTCTCCACTATTTTCCTGTCAGTCTCAAAATCAAAGAGGGACAAGGGGAACATAGACCTACGAGAAACGGCCATAGTAATCTTAATTGTCAAAATCCAAGATGGCTGCCTACAATTTCAATGAACTGGCTCAATATCTTGACAAGGGAAACTATATAATGACATAATTATTGGGTTCTAGAGTATCAGATCAAGAACTGAATTCTATTAGAGGGGGTCAAGGGTGAGCGATATAGTTTCACTGGGAATTATTCCAATAGCTGTGCTATTTTTGACCTCTGACCTTAACAATTTCATCCAATGTTAACAATTATTGGTGAAATATTCTAGAAAACAACACATACACAGTAATCTACATATAAACATAGAAATGTATCAAAAAATGTAAAATCTTTACATGTTGGCACAGAACATAACTGTTATCTCAAGATATAAATAAACCATCAGAAAATATTTACCTAAGTTACGATGTTTGCTTCAATGAAGTCTTTATACATACAGATGGTCTATTTTAATTCATATGTATTAGTCTGACAACGCTTTTATCAGTGATGTAGCTGCTCTCTATGTAAATCTGAACTGGCAATATATGGCATACATGGATCGTAACTTTATTAACACATTTAATCCCTTAGTTCAACAGAATATCAATTTCTACATGAAGACACTACATAGCACAATAGAATTGAAATTTGCATGCCTACCATTGGAACTACTGAAATGAGAGCTATTCACAGGTAAAAACATACCTTTAAATTTATTATCTGTTTAATACATGTTAAAAATATTAAGATGTACATTGTATAAAGAGTATGGCAGTATCACGTAAAGAGTGTAGTCTATGATATCACTTCATTTCCATGAGCAGAAAATCAATGGTTTTGGAGGCAGTGAATAGAAATCTCTTGTCTGATTGGTCAGTTGCCTCAAAGGCAGGAAATAGTTAATACTCGCCTGATTGATCAGTTATTCTGGAGGGCCTGATTACCTTAGAAATTGATGACATTAAGCAACAAATAAAGAAAGTGAAAATTATACAGATACTGAGTTCAGCTACATCACTGTTAAATACATTTACCAAATGGGTTCCTTTATATTTAAGGTATAGATAATGAAATATTAAACAATATAGCCTGCAAAAATGAAAAATACTGAGATTTGCTTCCTAAATTATACGAGTCAAATAGGAACTCATGTAAAATTCTTTATATATCTAGTATTTACAGGTATACGTTATGTGTGATCGATGTCCTAATCTGCATACAATGTTATAGAATTTGTCTCAAATGTTACAGTCTTTAAATCATGAGAAAAAGGAACCCTTATGATCAATTTAAACTTATTTACAACCCTGTACCAGTACCTCAACATGGAAGAATAAAATTACAATGATTAATAGAAACATGACTGGGCAATACTTCATGGTGACTTATATATAATATTAATGAGAACATATTTGATTCCATTAGTGGGAACAAACAGCTAACCACAGCTTAAATATAGGTATGATATACTAACATCAACACACAGGATGTAAATGTTTTGGAACAGTGCTTGTGTAAAACTGATGAATGATTACAAGGGAGTTTAGGCTTAATACCATTGGTACAAAAGGGAACTTATTTTACAGTGCCATACACTAAAATGTCTCTATATAATGATAAACAAAAGTGTTGTCAAACACAGAAAATCTGGTATATAAAGATTTTCCTGAAGTTTTATACTGGTTCTACAGTGTAATTAAATACCAATTAACAATTAACAACATAGTAAGTTACTATGTTAACATGATAAACAGAAAAACAACTGGAATGTCCTACTCTATGAACTGTCAAGGGCGTTGATGTAAATCTCACACTATAACTACAATACTACATATGTTCTATGTGATTAGATTCTATAAATTAATGGTTCAAACCTTCTCTCCCTATTAAATGCCTACTTCTAACTTAATTTATAAACCTCCTCTCCCTATCAAATGCCTACCTCTAACTTAATTTATAAACCTCCTCTCCCTATCAAATGCCTACCTCTAACTTAATTTATAAACCTATTCTCCCATCAAATACCTACTTCTAACTTAATTTATAAACTGATGGTAAACATTTTCAAATTTTCTTGAAGTTTGGGTTTCATACCCTACCTATCAGTAACCTTATTGTGACTTAATTCGTAAATTGAAAGTTAAAACATTTCGGCATTTTCAATTTGCAACAGTAGGCAAAGTAACTTATGGTGCAGCTAACAACACTTCACCAATACTTGCAAAATGATAAAGATGTTTAAATGTACTAGTTCACTTCTGTTTGAGAAATCAGTACTACCACATCACACACCTAACTTTACAAAGTAATTCCCAAAGGATGGTAGGGGTGGTGGCTGGTGTTACTAAAACAGATTTCTACCTTATCTGTAATGTATTTGTCCTATATACAGTATTCTATAACATTCTTGTCAATAATCATACTTGCATACACAGCAATGCTAGTTTTAGCATAATCAAATTTGAGCCAAATATTTGTTTTTCACACAATAAAATTTTGATTTCCGCATGTTATACCTTAAACAGCACAGGTGTTTGCTACAAAGTCCAAACCCTCTGTCTGTATGATACAGGCTGTGGAGTTTGGAATATGCACCACACCCATTTCTTTAGCAGCATCACTCTAGTGTAATAATATTTCAACAGCATAATATACTTTTAGCAGAATCAGCATTTTTAACACACACAATGTCATACAATTAAGCAGATTTACATTGTAACACTACATGTCATGTCAGCCGTTATTGGTAGTTATAACATGCTAAATGTTAAGGTTAATGTTAATACACACTCAGCAGAATCAGACATTTTGGCAAATGCGTAAAATTTAGCAGAATCACATGCTAGCATTATAATACATATTAAGCAGAATCATGAATTCTAACACACACAATTTAGCTGAATCACATCCTAGCATTATAATACATATTAAGCAGAATCATGAATTCTAACCCACACAATTTAGCTGAATCACATCCTAGCATTATAATACATATTCAGCAGAATCATGAATTCTAACCCACACAATTTAGCTGAATCACATCCTAGCATTATAATACATATTCAGCAGAATCATGAATTCTAACACACATACACAATTTAGCTGATTCACATGCTAGCAAAATAATAAACATTATACATACAATCAGGCATTTAAGCCAACTCATATGATTTAGCAAAGCCACATTCAAACAATTTGGACATATTGCAGAATTGTGCATGTTAGCACATGCATACAATTACATTCAAGTAACACAATTCACCTTATATTGTTTCAGCACAATAAAGCTTCGCATCCTAGCACTATGATGCATAGCAGAATCCTGTCCATTAGCACACTCTAACAATTTTGTAAGTTTTGCGACCATTCTAGCATAACAACACACATTTAGCTGATTGCATCTTAACCCTAAAGTTGATATGCAGACAGGCTGCCATAGGCGACTAAAGTTGACATGCAGACAGGCTGCCATAGGCGACTAAAGTCGACATGCAGACAGGCAGCCATAGGCGACTTTAGTCGACAATTTTTGCCATTGTTTTCGGATATTTTCCGGAAAATATTTGGCGCTGAACTGTACATCGTGAGAAATATTTGGTGCTGAGCTGTACATCGTGAGAAATGTTTGGCGCCTAAAGGTTTAATGTGATTACAATCTAGTACATTTTTGTACAATAACACTTGCGCACAGATTTTTGGTTGTGAAGACATTTGACTGTAATACAGTTGTAGGAAATTCCTTAAATACAAGCTACAACAAATAAGCTTTAATCACCAAGCAGTTATATCTTTAGAACCTATAATCATAGAACTATTCCTATGGTTACACTTAAGTCAGTGTTCAAATTCAAGATATCAATTTTGTCTCCTTAATCAATCCTTAAATATAGGCTACAAGCCTGTATGTTTTGAAATATTTTTAGGACAATTAGGAATCTAGCACACAGAACAGTATTTTTTGGTATTTTTTTTAATTTTTGTAAATCGGATCCAGCTGGGCTATATCTTTATAGTAAATATGTAGAATTCTCCCTCACCATGGCATGAAATCTACCACTGGTGGGTTCACAGCTGTATTGTATATACCTGTGTAGCAATGGTATCTAGAGAGCTGTAAAATATCTCCTTATAAGTACTGTTAGTAAATATGGGCATTGTTTCTTTTATCTTAAGCCCACTATTTAATAATCAAAACCTCCATGCCGGTATTGAAAATATCTTTGGCCTTTATCCCATTAGATTCTGTAGTCTCCTCCATTTCAAGGTCAATGAATGTATCAAATATGCTGAACAACAATGGCAGACATCTCTCATATAATGTTATGATTTATGCTATTTAATGGCTCATCTGTGGAGTAACAATACTTTTAATATCAAAGTCATTTATCAGGTACTTATGACATTCAATAAATGATTTATCACTACCCCAGAAAGGAGAGAGCTTGTTTAGATTTCTGCCAGTTACTGAACTCCTTTTGAATCTCAATTATTCAACAAAATTTTGCGAATGAAATGATCATTGATGATAAGTATATCATTTCAAAATCTTTTGAAATGTAATGTTACAAGTATCTGTGAAGCATAATATACTTTGTATTGCTTCTCGTGTTTTGTTTTGACAGCCAATACAAAGTCAGAAACATCAGTATATATGACTTTATATATAGATTAAATGACTATTTGTTAACGCCTACAATGTGTCATGACAACACTATTTACAGATGATGGAAGATGATAAAAGCCATGTTAACGTGTAATCTCTAAGATACTGTAAAATGCATGCCACTCTATATCATATCACCATATTCTTGACAAAAAAATAAATGGAGGTGCCATGTTTGATGACAAAAGGAATATATTACCCTGTTGTGTGTAAAGTTAAGGGAACACAATGTCTGATGGAGGATTCTACAACACTGAACAACTCCTTCTCTTACACTGTATTATTTTTATGTTGTTATATCCTCAGACATTAATCATGGCCCTATAGAAGTCTATATAGACCTTGGCAAGGGTCATCAGCTAGCCAGATAAAACCACAAGGTCGGGAGTATTGCATAAATATAAACTCTAGATCTGATCCAATCAATTAAACTCCTTGGAATGTGATATATATAAAACTGCCTTCTTTTTCAAATAGTATCAACTATTTATCTTTCATTTATTCATACTGTTTAAATGAATGATTAATGATGATAAACATATAATTTCTGGGTTCTGTACAAGAAGGAGTTTTGCCACTAAATGAAACAAATCAATTAACTAAAAGGTTGGCACTTGAGTAAAGGGTATTTCTTCAGCATGATTTCCCTTGTCCAGACAAGTTTTGGTCGGAGAGATAGAGGAACTTGAGATCTGTGAGAGTTATACCAGTCCTGAAGGATGTTCAGGGTAACAGTTGGATTGAGGACACAAAGTTCCAGTAATGTTTCTACCACACAGATCTTCACATCCAGATGTACTGTAAAAAAACAAACAGCTATACAATCAAAATGTCACACTTCCAAACTTCTGTCATTCATCAGCAAATTTAAACTTATTCCTGGAATATTTTCTCTTTTTTATGATAAAATGATGAGCAATGTCAAGTTAATATCATGACAGAGCAACTCTTTACCAGTTTTTAGTGCAATTGTGATATTTTCAGGTGCAACAATCACAATATAACATGTTACCATAATAACATAATATATCATTCTTCATTATCTAGTCATATTCTTGTGATCACAGAAATCTACAGAAAATCAAATTTATATTTCATACAAATTAATCATTGCGAAATTCCAATTAATAACAAATATCTTCTCCTCACCTTCCGATTTCAAAACTTTCTGTAAATTCTTTACTGCTTGGTTGATATTTTTCTGCCGGGCGTCACGTTTCTTGGGTAATATACAACCTGTAATGCAGTTCTTTAATCATATTATCTATGACAGTAATTCTAGGTCAGTCATATATCTATTCAGACTTAATCATAAATACTGGTCACAAAATGTATGCCTTCTTTAGAAATTTTAAGTTAGTTACAAAATCTATAGTATCTTCCAAATAGTGTTTATAATGCCATCTAAGTAAGCTCATCTTAAGAAAAAAAAGCTTTAATTATTCAACAATAAACACCTTCTTGATGTTGGAAATTTAATGCTCATAGAAGACACATGTGATCATATTTTAACCATAAATGGTAAAAGTTCAATTAAGGAAACCATATTACCTTGTAACTTTTTTACAAACAAACAAATACAAGTACTACTAGTGTTTTCAACAAGGTTTTTTTATAATAAGAGAACAAAGAGAAACATTTATATAACAAGGAGACTCACCAAGCAATCTGAAAACACATTTGGCATACTCAGGATCAAACGCTTGGTCCAGGGTGTCTCCAGTTTTTACTTTTTTGGGGTTTGTACATTTCTGGCAGACTGAGTTTAAGCCACTATGGATTAGGTAAAACTCTATGGGTTCCAACATAAACAGCAGTTCAAGACTGCGCATCAGTGAGAATATCTTATCTGTAATAAAAATTACATGCTGATCAGGAAAGTTTATCAAGCTATTACATAAACAAGTTTTCATGAATGGGCAAGGAATTCAGTTACATTTATCACCAAGTGTTCTATAGGCTGATTGTGATATTACCACATAAGATACAACATAAACTAGTCAGTTACATGTTTTCCACCTTCTTGACTCTTCCTACCTCTAAACATTGTTTCACAGATGAGTGTCAGTGTTCTGATGGTGTGAAGATACAGGATTGACTAGTTCTATCATTATCACTGCTTATTCACGCGTTTTTTTTTTACAGAAGGATTAAGCTTTATTTTAATGACTATAATAATAATAATAATAATAAACTTTATGTATTGCGGATAAATCATTTTTAGCCAATGGCTAATCTTCCACATGGTCCTCTGACTGACATCAGAATGTCCAAGCGATCAAGCTACTGATTAATATGACGTTGTATTCATCCACATTCATACTATAATATACATAATATTATTTAACGGTAGAATTCTTCAAAGGTAAGGAAAGATATGATTTGTATCGATGTATACCTTGACAAGGTTTTGTCTCTCTAGTTTCCAATGCCATAGCTGAATGGAGCTGCTTGGACAACGCATGACTGTCTAAGGAGACACGACACCAGTTACAGAGACGGTAGTAACACTCCAGCACCTGTAGCACAAATGAGATTTCTTCAGTTACATTAAAACTACTGTGTCAGGCGTGAAGCCTCCAGAAAACAGAAACTTAGGTGAACTTTTCCAGGGGCTTTCTCATTTGTGACAGACCTATGTAATCATGTTAATACAGGCATCAAAAGGGGAAGACGAGGCTCATTAGTAAGCAAAATAAGGCAGCAAGTTCATTGGTAATTTCTAAATCACACTCTGGTATAACTGATTAATGAAAACATCCTGGATCATCTCATCCAAAGGGAGGTAACTTGTCACAACTTGATACAAATAGGCTTTGGGCCAGAATGATTTTCAATACACGGCTTATGCCAATCACATGACCAGTATAGATAATCAAATGATGCAGCACAAAGTCTAACTGATCCAAGATGAAAACATTTTCATCAAATATTATTTGTGAAAATGTATTTTTTGTTTTATGTGTATAAGTAATGATATGGACACTAGATGGAAAATGTTTTCTCTTAAGTTTAACCTTTTTGCCATTGTCCTGATTTTCTCCTGCCCCTCTCATCTATTACTACTGGCATAGTTGGTCATCTACAATCATTTAAGTCACCATTCCACAGATTTTAGAGATGATCATGCGAGAGTATGTTGAGATTGTAAATATTTGTACCAAGTGTGTTGATAGGTGTAACTTGTTCAAAACAACTACATTTAGACATTTAAATCTCTAACAGCCTGTGACACATAATTGTGAATCTATTGATCTATCTGTTGACCATTTAAACATTTTCTTTATAAATAAGGCTGATCTACCTTTTCATCTTCCTGTTTGCCTGTGTTGAGTGTCCGGGTCACTTTTTGTTCTATAACTGCTAACATTGAGTATTCATCTACAACACACAAAAAATCACATTTGAACTGTCAGGTAAATCCATGCTATCTTATCAAATTTTATATATAATGTATTCTTTACTGTCATTATTTCAACATTGGTTTACAATCAGATAGTTATTTTACTATGTGGACAAGATTTATGATCTAACCTTGGTTATTTTAGATACTTTTAGAGTAAATAAACCTGCAATGTATCACTTCACAAGAGACTTGGACTTTAAATGTTCTGTTCAGCAGAAAAAAAGGCCATTAGTGATAAATGGCAAGCAGTAATCACAACTGACAGGAAGCAAACTGACCTTTTTTGGTTTTGTATAGAACCAAGGGCCACACCCCTGCAATGGCAACACCCAAACTATGGAAGGGGAGACGGGTGGACCTAAGTAACTGGAATACCATCACCCTAACACTCTCCACATCACCTGTAAGTACCAAGAGACATATATAAATACAGAATTGATTTGATCAATAGACTTGTCCATTTCACAGTTCCAGGAAACAATAATGACAATATTAGTTTTTTCTGGTTGTAAGTCCATGTCTAGTAATAAACTTGTGTCTGGTAATAAGCTTGTTTCTGATAATAAGCTTGTATCTGATAATAAGCTTGTATCTGATAATAAGCTTGTATCTGATAATAAGCTTGTATCTGATAATAAGCTTGTGTCTGATAATAAGCTTGTATCTGATAATAAGCTTGTATCTGATAATAAGCTTGTATCTGATAATAAGCTTGTGTCTGATAATAAGCTTGTGTCTGATAATAAGCTTGTGTCTGATAATAAGCTTGTATCTGATAATAAGCTTGTGTCTGATAATAAGCTTGTGTCTGATAATAAGCTTGTATCTGATAATAAGCTTGTGTCTAGTAATAAGCTTGTGTCTGATAATAAGCTTGTGTCTGATAATAAGCTTGTGTCTGATAATAAGCTTGTATCCGGTTATAAACCCATGTCTGACAATATGACCAAGTTTGGTATGAAGACCATGTCATGTAATAAGCCCATCTGACTACTAAACATGATCTTCTGATAAGTAAATATATTGTCTTGTAAAAATCCACTTAGTCTGAATATTTGCCTCTGCAGGACTAATAACAGTGTTTGGTTATTGTGTAAAAAATAAACATTTTCATTATTTAATGGGTAAAAAGGTTAATTTAAAAGATATCAAATATACATCACAAGGCAATCTATCAGACTGTCAGTCTTAAACTAGTTATCTATGAGAAGTTCAACAGTGAAATATACTTATAGCCACACTGTAAAAGGGAATGATTGATATTTTATAGAATATGAACAAAAAGCTTACCATCTAATCTACAAACGCCTGTGTACATCCGACTGAAAAATTCAAAAACGTTTCTTGTAAAATTGTTGAAGATATAAAGATAGAACATGCTCATAATCAGGTGATTCTATCAAGAAATGATTAACTAAGTAAATCATTCTGAAGCTTCAATAAAACATAAATATGTCCATCTTAATTTACCCTTTCCCGTTTTGTACTCAATTTCAAAGAATAAAGAATGACGATGATGGTTACTATACAATGTATATGGAATACAGAATGTTTATTAATTTAAAAGAAATCATGTTTATTACTTATACATCAGCCAGGTATACATTGTTTTATGTGAGAAAGAATTGACTGGGAAAACATTGATTCCTGTTGATTGCCTCAAGCAGAAATCAAACCCTAGTCTTAGGTATGAAAATGGACTAGCTCTACCAAATATGCCAAAGAAGTATGCTTTGTCAGCTGAGTATTTAACACTATGTATAAATCATACTGACACTTTTACATTTGTCAGTGGAGTATGTAACACTGTGTACAAACCAAACTGACACTTTTACATTTGTCAGCCGAGAATTTAACACTATGTATAAATCATACTGACACTTTTACATTTGTCAGTGGAGTATTTAACACTATGTACAAACCATACTGACTCTTTTACATTTGTCAGTGGAGTATTTAACACTATGTACAAACCATACTGACACACTTCTTTTACAATCATCAGCCGAGAATTTAACACTATGTACAAACCATACTGACACACTTCTTTTACAATCATCAGCCGAGAATTTAACACTATGTACAAACCATACTGACACATATGAATAACACTTTTAATTGTTTATAAAAAAGAATTACAACACTACTAAAAGCCTTGCTGAAATTTCTGTTAACTTCCCTTAATACACAAGGTTATATAGCTTATAGTTGATTTATCAGTTACTATTTTAACAGTCACAAACACCGCTGTATTAAACAGTCACAAACACCACTGTATTAAACAACAGTCACAAACACCACTGCATTAAGTGACAAGTTTTGATACAAGGCGTTGCTCAATAGCCTAGGCATCACAGACATTTAAAGTTTCTTTCCTCTACTATTAACATACTGGAAAATAGTTCTTTGAGACTAATTCATATTCTTCCTTACAATTATTTCTAATTTCATGACTTACCTCAGGGCTGAAGCAGCCATTACCGGTAAGAGGTTCGACAGACTTAGGGAAGACCATAACGAATCCAAAAGTTTCTGTTTCAAATCATCCTAGGAGAGAAAAATCATCAAACGATAAAAAAATGTACACAGCAACAATGTGTGACCTGTATCTTAGTTACCTCCTGTGTTAACTATACATCAATGTGTGACCTGTATCTTAGTTACCTCCTGTGTTAACTATACATCAATGTGTGACCTGTATCTTAATTACCTCCTGTGTTAACTATACATCAATGTGTGACCTGTATCTTAGTTACCTCCTGTGTTAACTATACATCAATGTGTGACCTGTATCTTAGTTACCTCCTGTGTTAGCTATACATCAATGTGTGACCTGTATCTTAGTTACCTCCTGTGTTAACTATACATCAATGTGTGACCTGTATCTTAGTTACCTCCTGTGTTAACTATACATCAATGTGTGACCTGTAACTTAGTTACCTCCTGTATTAACTATACATCTGTGTACGACCTGTATCTTAGCTACCTCCTGTGTTAACTATACATCAATGTGTGACCTGTATCTTAGTTACCTCCTGTGTTAACTTTACAACAATGTGTGACCTGTATCTTAGTTACCTCCTGTGTTAACTATACATCAATGTGTGACCTGTATCTTAGTTACCTCCTGTGTTAACTATACATCAATGTGTGACCTGTATCTTAGTTACCTCCTGTGTTAACTTTACAACAATGTGTGACCTGTATCTTAGTTACCTCCTGTGTTAACTATACATCAATGTGTGACCTGTATCTTAGTTACCTCCTGTGTTAACTATACATCAATGTGTGACCTGTATCTTAGTTACCTCCTGTGTTAACTTTACAACAATGTGTGACCTGTATCTTAGTTACCTCCTGTGTTAACTATACATCAATGTGTGACCTGTATCTTAGCTACCTCCTGTGTTAACTATACATCAATGTGTGACCTGTATCTTAGTTACCTCCTGTGTTAACTTTACAACAATGTGTGACCTGTATCTTAGTTACCTCCTGTGTTAACTATACATCAATGTGTGACCTGTATCTTAGTTACCTCCTGTGTTAACTATACATCAATGTGTGACCTGTATCTTAGTTACCTCCTGTGTTAACTTTACAACAATGTGTGACCTGTATCTTAGTTACCTCCTGTGTTAACTATACATCAATGTGTGACCTGTATCTTAGCTACCTCCTGTGTTAACTATACATCAATGTGTGACCTGTATCTTAGTTACTTCCTGTGTTAACTATATATATACATTATCTTGTTCAATTTCATTGTCAATTTAAAGGGAAATACAAAATCAGTATAAAATTCCTTACATATTTGAATTGAACATGGCACTGCATAATTTTTACTTTCTAATAGTGATTGTCCTTACCTAATACACAGTGACGATTCTGAATATATGATTTTTTGGTAAAACCAGCCAAATTCTAATAACTACCATGCCTGACTATTTCATCCTTAAATAGACCTAATTCCACATTATTGGTATCCAAAACAAATTTTCAGTCATTTCTTATCTGTCACAACATTTATTCTATAATGGCTACCTTGCACACAAAGTATCTAGTAATAGTTTTGTGTTATCTTTAAGGAGTGAATATTTGATTCCTGAAAACATATTCATCAGATAATGATATGCTCCATTGTTGCAGTGAAATCTGTTTGGAGATTTTGAAGACTGTATCAACAAAGTGTCTTGTTCATGTTTCCAGAATTGATCTTTGAAACATCTTACCAATAAATTTCTCTGCTGTAATTCTGAGTATAACTGCAGCAACTTGACCTCCTGGTCTGCTAGAAATGGACACTGGTCAGAGTTACTATTCTGTCCACCTTCATAGACCGGCTTTAGTAGAGTCAAACTTTCTACATTGGAACACAGCAGGTGCTGAAAAATACATAAATTGTTGATCTTTCTACATTGGAACACAGCAGGTGCTGAAAAATACATAAATTGTTGATCTTTCTACATTGGAACACAGCAGGTGCTGAAAAACACATAAATTGTTAATATCTATAATAAAAAAAGAAATACTTCATTTTTTATCAAATGGCTACAGGAATTCCTAGGTACATAATCAAGAAAATGTCCTAGGAAACAAAGCCCATGTCCAGTAATAAGCCCACCAAGATATACTGCAGTTTCATTAAAATGTTTCTCAATGGTCCATTTACTAGGTCAAATTCCATTATACTGAGTTAGATGTAGCTACAAAATCATAACCTTTCCTTCAGGTTTATTTTTGCCGATTCTTTAGTACTCTTTATCCAAAATAACTGATGTCGGAGTTCCACAGAAATATAAATGATTAAATAGTAGGTCTTGTTTACATTGCCTCATTTCAACCGACATTCATGTCGGTAAGGTTAATTGAATTTGCAGATTTTTATATCTTAGACCTGGCAGTCTGACTGTTTACTGAGAAGAGAAACAAGAAAATACTGATATGTCAACAGAATCTAAATTCAAACTTAAAATCAACAAAACTACATCAAAATGTTGAAAGACTCACACAGTGACCCCTGAAAAATACAATAAGACCAGGTGTTCCAAAAGAGTAAGTGCCTTGTACTTTATCTACAACTCCTGTTATATAAATCTTGGTATGGGATATTGAAACATTACAATGTTATTGCAGGCCTTGAAATTTTGTTTATTATTAAATCTCAGTTATTTTTTTCTATATTAATACAAACACTAAAATTATTGGATGTAAATGAAGATATGTAGTATTTACATGGATATATGCCTTGTTTCTAAAAAAAGTAATTCACACACATCTATGTGTAAATATCAGATGTAAATGAAAATGATGGTAGTGTAGTGGACAGACTTCCTGTTTTTCATAAAAGATAATCATACACAAATATGTACTCCTGAATATTTGTTTATTTTCTAAGAATGATTTGCCTACGATATGAAAGACTATTACAATGAACTACAGTCAATGGTGATGTTAATGTTACCTGTACAAGCCAGTGGATCCAGGTAGATATAACGACAGCCACATCTTTATCTGTAGCTAGGAGAGAGTCTGCTGTCTTTGATGTGGATACCTCTGATGAATCCAGGTATTGTTCCATCAACATCTGTATCACTGTAAACAGACAGCCCGGTTCAGTTAAAAGGTACTCTTAATAGGTTCAACATCTGATATTTATACTACTAGATATCAAATCAGACTCCCTTACAATGTTTAAAATTACAAAACAAATGTCAAATATGTTGTTAACTTGTTCTTGATAATTCAGGGACCTTCCCTGAGATGGGAAGTTCAGTTAAAGTTATATTTTGTGAAATAACAGACATTCCAATAGTGAGAAATGCAGATTATATTCACCATTCAACACCAGAGCATTAATCTTTTGTGTCTCCTGTGATCTCTTGGAGCTTTGTGTCTCCTGTGATCTCTTGGAGCTTTGTGACTGCTGTTTTTCAGTTAGAGGACCATCTGCCCTTGCAGAAATGCACTACAAAGAATGAAAATGTATGACTTGAAATGTAAGAACATGCACAGAGTATACAGCGATGAATCGTTGTGTGACTCCCTAGTCCTGTACTTATTCAATTTTTTTTAACTGATAAGAGTTTCTGAAAATGCTTAAATTTTACACTGTATAAGCCATTGGTTTTAGCAATAAAGCTGACAAGGATCTACGAAAATAATCTTTAAATTGGTCACAGAGTATATAAGTTGGTTGTACACTTTGTATGCAATAACATGTACAATATAATAATATTGGCACAGTGGTAACACACTCGCCTTTCACCTTGCCGTCCGGGGATCGATTCCCGGAATGTATGTATGAAAAGATATGGGGTCACCTGCTCGATCATGTTGGTTTTTCCCCCCGGGTACTCCAGTTTCCTCCCACACTAAGACCCCTCGCTCACTTCCATCCCAGCCAACAAGAGTGATTTATATAAGTTGGAAAAACATGCTCCACAATTGTTGTAAAATTAATAAACTTTATTATTATTATTATTATTACTAATATTCAATCCCGTGTTCACCTTCCTGATAATATCTTTCTTTAATCAGAATGCCTTGAAATTAAACGTGATACTGAGCCTTGAAATTAGACGTGATACTGAATTAGAAATATTATAAAAATACCAATGAATGTCCCTTGTTTTGTTTACCTCATACTACGACACTTTCCACACATCATCTCCCTATATGATTACTTTGTATATCTACCCTAATTAAAGCCCATTATCTGATCACTAAACTGTCTTGCTATGGCATTCATGGTTAATATACTGTAAGTGACAGAGCATGAAGTCAAACCTATTGCAAGCTAAAGCCGGTTTGATGTTTACATTTATATACTCTACAGTACACATCTTGCTCTCTTACACAGCTGATAACAAGATTTAAATTATCTAAATTAAACAACTTATTCGGTATCAACAAAGTAATTTGTCAATAACAACAGCCATTTTAGCAGCAATCTGTCACTGTTTATATGCTAACTTACTGACATCATAATAGTCACACACTGGATTAAATTAATTGCATCCTAAATCCCAAAATTATTTTTCTGATAATGTAAACATAATATCATAATTACACAGAATAAATGGTGACAGTATAATCAAAACAAATTCAATTTTTTAATTGGTTATCAATTACAGGTAATAAAAATTGGAAAAAATCATAAACAATAACATAACTTTGATATTACTTACCAACTTTTTTTCCTGTGATACTGTACATGGTAACTTGTCAATACTCTTTCTCTTTGTTGCTGCCATTTTTTCACCTCTGTTGTATAAAGTATATAAAGATGATGTTATACCAAAACATACAAGTTATTTACAGGACTGGATCGTCATGATTTCTTATAAAACTTTGAGGATTCAATTTTTTCATGAGATGAAGAGACAATTAACTCTTAATCATAAGGACTAATTCACAGAAGGAACAATGTAATAAGTGTTTCTCACATCAAAGAAATGTCACTTCTGAATCAATAGGCAATCTACAGGAATCCAAATTTGAACAATCTTATTCAAACAATAACTCTTTCATTACCTCTCAAAATAGATTTCAATAACTAATTGCACTGAATAAAACCCAAAAATTGTTCATGAATTTCAAAGCTTTCTTTCCTTTGGAAGACTTTCAATGATAGTTAATTCTTATTTCATATGCAAAATGAGAATGCAAGTTACAAGATTATTAAGGATCAACTTAAGATTTTGATGATACATAAAAATTTTTTTTTAATTTTTTAATAATTCAGAGGTGTGAAATCTGATTCTAAAGGATATAAATGTTGATTTCATGAATGTCACCCTTGCAATCTTCCAGTACCTGGGTTTTGCAGTTGTCTGGTCCACTTCTGTCCTAGAAACTTTGCGTTTGGAATGTTGTAGATCATTCCGATCATTGCTACGTTTGTTTGAAACTGTTTTAGGCTTCACATAAATAGCACCTGAAGGGGCTTCTGCATGAAAACTACACAAAGCTTGACCCGCCTTCTCCTTAACAGGATTACACGTTGCAGTAGGCTGAGATTCAGGATCACTTGTAGCAGGAAGCGTCAATTCTGACTTGTTCATGAGCAAGCTTGGCACAGGTGTAACTACAGGTGTGTTATCACTACTATTATCAGAGGAAGGCATATGTGTAAGACTAGAAATAAGGGAAATGGAATCAGATTGCCATGGGGATCCTGGAAGTGGGGACAGAGGATCCTGCTCAGGAATTGGAGAGGGAGGAAGGGGAGACAGGGCAAGAGGAATGATAAAGTCTATAGGAGAAGGAGGTAGAGGAGAGACAGGGGACGCTGCTGCTAATGATGATGACCTATGACCCATCTGAACACATCCTGACATGGTGCTGCCATCTTCTGATATCTCAGGGGAAATAACTCTACTGGATGTAACATTATGTTGTATGCTTTGACTAGAATGGAGTTGAGTTGAGAATGGAATATAAACAGATGATGCGTCTGTAGATGTTGAAGGCTGGCTGAGATAATCATCTGCCAACAAATGATCACAAGATTCAACACTATCTTCCTTAGTTATATAACTATCTTTAACTAAGGAATCATTTTCTACATTTTCACACCTTTTTTCCACACATTTAGACATCACTCTGTTTGTTTGCTTAGCCAGATTCAAAGTTTGCACTTTTTCTTTTTCTAATATTTCTGTATTGCACCTTAAATCACCATTTTCAGCACCTTCTGAAAGTTTTGAGAGGGAAGACGTAGCAAACTTTGATGAATGTTTGTTTGATGTCTGTTCTGCGAGCGTCAAGCTCTCTGGTGACATGGGACCAGGAGACTGAGGAGTGAGACTTTGATCTGTCACACTGTCTGTTGAGGGTGAGGTTTTAAGGATAAAACCTGTACTTGATTGACGGGACATGGTATTCCTTCGTGATTCATCAAGTTCCTCATAATCCTCTTCCCCATCAGCACTAGGTATGCCTAACAGGCTTGAATTTTGTTCTGTACACTGGAGTGCTTTTCCTTTCAAAGATTCTGTTTCTCTACTTAACACTTTATCATTAGGTTCTTTAGTGACAGTCTTATCTGTTTTCTGTTCTGTTTCTACATCTGTTTTATCACATTTTACAAGACTACAAATAACTTGAGGAAGGTCACTATGCCCCTTGATTTCATTACATAGTCTTTCAATTGAATCTTTAGAATCACATTTTTGTCCTCTTTCTCCTTTCAGCTCATTATTTTTACTGCCAGTTCCATTCAATTCACTATTTTGACTGTCAGTTCCTTTCAACTCACTATTTTTACTGTCAGTGCCTTTCAACTCACTATTTTGACTGTCAGTTCCTTTCAACTCACTATTTTGACTGTCAGTTCCTTTCAACTCACTATTTTGACTGTCAGTTCCTTTCAACTCACTATTTTGACTGCCAGTTCCATTCAATTCACTATTTTGACTGCCAGTTCCTTTCAACTCACTATTTTGACTGTCAGTTCCATTCAATTCACTATTTTGACTGTCAGTTCCTTTCAACTCGCTATTTTGACTGCCATTTCCTTTCAACTCACTATTTTGACTGTCAGTTCCTTTCAACTCACTATTTTGACTGTCAGTTCCTTTCAACTCACTATTTTGACTGCCAGTTCCTTTCAACTCACTATTTTGACTGTCAGTTCCTTTCAACTCACTATTATGTTGATTAATGTCCTCCATTTGTCTCTCCTTATGATTTTGTTGCCCAGCCAATTCTGAATCATCTTTTCTTTCTCTGTTAACATCACTATTGGATATATCTAAAATAGTCTCATTTTGTTTACGATTTTCAATTAAGGGGATATTCAAAGGGGGTTTAGTTTCTGTGTCAAAAGAATCGACAGAGGGCAAATTTTTCCTTCCCTTGGTGCCAGATGTTGGCAAAAGGGTTTTAGATTTTGAGCGTGTAAATAAATGGGAATTTACATCATCTTCAACAGTATTTTGTATTTTGTGCGAATACTGCATGGCTTTATAATCCCTTTTTAACTTTTCTAAATCTAATTTTGTTTTACTGGGTCCTTTTTGAGTATTTGGATTAGGATGTGCAACATACAATTTTGTTGAATTTTCCTTGGTTTTAGAATATTCTACTTCACTGCATAATGAAAGTCTTGAACTCTGTCTCCTTTCTGTGTTACTTCCCTTGGGGCTACCCTTTATGGGTGAGCTCATTGACCTTGTCAGTCGTTTACCCAAGGGCACCATGTCTTCACAACGGGGTGACCTCCGAAGGGAATATCTTACCCCAGCTTTTGAACGTATTTTGCTTTGTTCCTGAACTCTATTAAGGTTTCTGTTAGCTGAGGATTCAGTATGCAGCGTATCCTGTGATGTTTTCTGACAAGAATCTGTTTTGGTGAGACAGTCACTTATGTCACTATCACCATCTGATACAATCTGACTAGAAACTCTTCGTCTCCGTGGACTAATGATCTCCTCTTCCTCTGGTGAAGTATGAATGGCAGTGTCTGATGTGCGAACCAAATCATCTTCCTTGCTGAGACTACAGTTTGAATTATCTTTCAAACCTTGAAGTTTTTTAGACTCTGGAACCAGAGATTCATCCACTTGTTCTTCCTCAGATAAATGTGATTCACTTTCAATAGTTGTGGCTGATTGTCGACGGAGTAGCTTCCCTTCAACAGATTTCGTAATGCCGATATCTTTCTTGGCTTTAATTTTATTTTTTAGTGTAGGTTTTTGAAAATTTTTCCTGTGATGTAGTAAGAGTTCATCCTCCAGTTGTTGGGCTAGCTGATCATCATCACTCTGGGATGCTCCATCAACCGGGGAGTCACACTATAACACAAAGGAATGGCATCACATTTATATGATAAGTTAGTATTGATAAATGTTTTCTTGCAAAATATTTATCGATCAACAATGGCAGTTATAGTTCTTTGTTAAGAAGTGGCATTATTAGACAAATTCTGAACTTTATCATTTATCTTGCCAAGAAACAATCTTTTCTTGAATATGAATGTTGAAGGTTTCATAAATATTAAGATAGAGTGGGAGGAACATTGTTTGTTTGATTGGTTTATCAGCCAAGATCATTTTCAGGTGGGGGTCTCCTTCAAGAAGGTATATTCTATAATGTCTTGTCCATTAGACTGGATATGTGAAAGGGGAAATAGATAACAAAGAAGATCTTACCTGTCTGGGTGGGGCTGGAGATGGTGGTAGAGGAGACAGGACGTGGACAATAGGACTGAATGTCCACAGCAGAGATTCCTCGTCACTGTCCTTGCCTTCCTTTTCAGTTCCATCGTTTTCCAGCATGGCATGACAGCTCACAAATGGAGGTGATACATCATCTACAATTTAATACTTTTCTGTTTGTTTAATGATAACTACATCTTTCACACTTTAGAGTGTGCAACATAAACAGTTTGTAAAGCATAAATGGCATGTTTGACAGTACATCATACCTTCTATATCTTCAACATCGGATTCATCAGAATCCAGGTATGTGGCCGTTTTCAGTCGCTTCTCTCCCTTGGGTATCAAATCTGTAGCGATAGATGTTAGCAAAATAAAGACTGGACCTTCATGGTCACTTGTCTATAAAGTAATACATGCCTGTCTGTAAAACTACTAGATTACCTGTCTATAGAAATTATCTGTTTAGTACCTGTCTACTAAGACCAGTCTATTAAAACATCCTGCTATAAACATCATCTGCCTATCACTTCTATTTTCAGTAGATAATATAGCCTGGCTTGAAAGCTGATAATTGTAACTGGTTTTAAAATCAGACTATAAGGATGGTGCTTAGAATTAATTTAAATCGTAAGACAGGTTGCCTACCATGCTCCTTCAGAATTGACCAGTACTTGTCAAACCTCTCCTGCAAAAGCGAAAAATCATCCTCTGAATTTCAAGCACTGAACGAAGATTAATGACTTTTATTGGTATTAGTTGATATGTATAAGAACTAACTTGAGTTTCCGTTCACTAATACATGGTCTTACGAACTGTTTTGTTACCTATTTATATAAAGGATCACACATGAATTATATACGTGATACTTAATTTGATCAGGCATCTGGTAAATAAGTAAGACAAAAAATTCCCTCAATCATATACCTTAGAGCCTTACAAGTAATCATGAAAACAACATCTATTAGACATAAAATTTAAATTGACAAATTTCTCACATAAAATCTCTTTATTAAACAATGACACAAGGCACATGATCCAATGAGCTCATGACATCACTATGAATCATCGGAACCTTCAGTCAATCACAACTAGGTGTTATTATACGAGTCGTTATAACAAAATTGATATCATAAGCATTATAACACTGAGTATAGGGTGGTTACGTGATGCAAACGTATAAAATTATATTTCATGGTAAGACCCATTAGCCAGGGATCATCAGTCTTAATCAAAAGATTATTTTTCATTTTTCTGGAGCTGGATTGTTATAGGATAAACATTATAAAAAAAATTATAAAAAAAAAAAAAGGATAAACACACAAATAAAAATACTCCGTTTTTATATTCCTGCATCAAAGTGCATTGTACACTGGGGTAATGTACAATGCGCTTTGATGCAGGAACAAAAATTCTGAAGTAATCTTCACATATCCACTGACTTTCTTTTCCGAATACCTTACACAAATCATTAGAACATTCACATTTAACTTCAACTGAACAACTATACTTTACTGGAAGCAGTAGGTGGTGTCAATATTTCAAAATACTGGTACAGAGGGAAGAAAATAGGGATCAGGCATCAAAAGACATATACCTGGGATATGTTTGGTCTGATGATTTTCTAATGTTAAAGGTCAAATGAAATTAAATGGAATAATGATGATGCCCACATAGTTCGGGCAAAACTGGTCGACAAGATGAATAAACCTACTACCAACTTATCCTGAGCTTGTTGCAGTTGATACTTGCATTGTTAAATGGAATAATGGTGTACCATGCAGCCCATTACGTTTGCAATGATATTTTTAGCTATTTTAATTATAATTATATTAATCAGACTTGTGTATTAAATGTTCTTCAACATTCAAAAAGCAAAATTTTAATTAATAAAATATAAAATTTTATCATTAAAAAAAAAAATTGTGAAAATTTTGACCTGTTAAAATTACTGGCTATACACTACGGAAAATTGCTGAACATCAACCTGCCAACATCAATTGTTATTCAGGACGGCATCCCTATGTAAGTCAGGTGAGTACAATGTGTTGAGTGTGTACATTTTTAATAGACAAGATAAGCAGTGACACATCTTTTAACAGAAATACAAAAAAATAAAAAGATTCAACTTCTATAATGTTCAACAGTCAGGAAATAACAACAATAAAACTGTAAAAATCTTTAACCTATTAATCTATATTTAGGTTATGTCTAGCTGTTACAATCTAGTTATAAACTAAACAGAAGAAAAAGAAGCAAACGCAGTGACTAGGTATACAATAATATAATACTACATTATCTAAAATCAGCTTGTTGGATTTTCAACATACCAGGGACACCTTTAGTCTTTGATGTAGTTTCCTCTGTTTTTTAACTGTCTCAGCATGTTCTTCCTTTAATGCTTTGTTCTTATCTACAAAATATTAAAAAATACTCATAGAAACATGACAGATTAATAAACCATACTGATAGAAACATGACAGATTAATAAACCATACCCATAGAAACATGACAGATTAATAAACCATACCCATAGAAACATGACAGATTAATAAACCATACCCATAGAAACATGACAGATTAATAAACCATACTCATAGAAACATGACAGATTAATAAACCATACTGATAGAAACATGACAGATTAATAAACCATACTGATAGAAACATGACAGATTAATAAACCATACTGATAGAAACATGACAGATTAATAAACCATACTCATGGAAACATGACAGAATATTAAACCATACTCATAGAAACATGACAGAATATTAAACCATACTTATGGAAACACGAGAGAATATTAAACCATACTCATGGAAACATGACAGAATATTAAACCATACTCATGGAAACATGACAGAATATTCAACCATACTCATGGAAACATGACAGAATATTAAACCATACTCATGGAAACATGACAGAATATTAAACCATACTCATGGAAACATGACAGAATATTAAACCATACTTATGGAAACATGACAGATTATTAAACCATACTCATGGAAACATGACAGAATATTAAACCATACTTATGGAAACACGAGAGAATATTAAACCATACTCATGGAAACATGACAGAATATTAAACCATACTTATGGAAACATGACAGAATATTCAACCATACTCATGGAAACATGACAGAATATTAAACCATACTCATGGAAACATGACAGAATATTAAACCATACTCATGGAAACATGACAGAATATTAAACCATACTTATGGAAACATGACAGATTATTAAACCATACTTATGGAAACATGACAGAATATTAAACCATACTTATGGAAACATGACAGAATATTAAACCATACTTATGGAAACATGATGGAATATTAAACCATACTCCTGGAAACATGACAGAATATCAAAAAATACTCATAGAAACATGACAGATTATTAAACCATACTTATGGAAACATGACAGATTATTAAACCATACCCATAGAAACATGACAGATTAATAAACCATACCCATAGAAACATGACAGATTAATAAACCATACCCATAGAAACATGACAGATTATTAAACCATACCCATAGAAACATGACAGATTAATAAACCATACCCATAGAAACATGACAGATTATTAAACCATACTTATGGAAACATGACAGATTATTAAACCATACTTATGGAAACATGACAGATTATTAAACCATACTTATGGAAACATGACAGATTAATAAACCATACTTATGGAAACATGACAGATTATTAAACCATACTTATGGAAACATGACAGATTATTAAACCATACTTATGGAAACATGACAGATTATTAAACCATACTCATGGAATCATGACAGAATATTAAACCATACTCATGGAAACATGACAGAATATTAAACCATACTCATGGAAACATGACAGATTAATAAACCATACCCATAGAAACATGACAGATTATTAAACCATACCCATAGAAACATGACAGATTAATAAACCATACCCATAGAAACATGACAGATTAATAAACCATACCCATAGAAACATGACAGATTATTAAACCATACCCATAGAAACATGACAGATTAATAAACCATACCCATAGAAACATGACAGATTAATAAACCATACCCATAGAAACATGACAGATTAATAAACCATACCCATAGAAACATGACAGATTAATAAACCATACTCATAGAAACATGACAGATTATTAAACCATACCCATAGAAACATGACAGATTAATAAACCATACCCATAGAAACATGACAGATTAATAAACCATACCCATAGAAACAAGACAGAATATTAAACAATACTTATGGAAACATGACAGAATATTAAACCATACTTATGGAAACATGACAGAATATTAAACCATACTTATGGAAACATGACAGAATATTAAACCATACTTATGGAAACATGACAGATTATTAAACCCTACTGATAGAAACATGACAGAATATTAAACCATACTTATGGAATCATGAAAGAATATCTAACCATACTTTTTGAAACATGACAGAATATATCATACTTATGGAAACATGACAGAATATTAAACCATACTCATGGAATCATGACAGAATATTAAATCATAGATACATTTTAATGAAATTTGATTAAATTTGATGTAAAATTTTCTGGCAGAATACATTGTAGATTTCAAACAATATCTATAAACTATTTTCACTGTCCGTAACCATGTTAAACAGCATGCGACTAGAAAATAAGAAAGTAATGTAAATAATATATCACAGCGAATTAAAACATGATGACAAGATCCTGACTCAATAAACACTCTGTCATGAAAAACAACCGATGAACATAAACTTTTGTCATGTTGTTTGTAATGTAAAAAAGATGAAAAAGAAAATACAAACAAAGTTCTGGAGATGATAGCAAAAATTTATCCGCATGATCCTGATAAAAATAATTGCAACAAAATCAGTTATCAACCCATCCTAAAGTACTATCAATTTGAACCTCAACCATTGAATGTGACTGATAAGATTTTGGACAGGAGGGAGGTGACATTTTAGGTTAGTGAGTTCAACCTAAACCAGAGACCAAATATATATGTAAACACCATATGACAGTGACCTGGCCGATCACATGACAACCTATTTTTAGGGTTGTTTGTACATAAAACTATAGAACATGTTGGAGAAAATCTTTCATTGATAGAGTTGTAGTTAACATGCAGAAATAACAGAAGTGATCATTCTTCATCTGGTATATAACACAACCTGCCCTTCAATATTTGGCATTCACTAAAATATGGAATATTCCATTCAAGGTAAGCCTGCATGTTTTGAATTAAGTCATAATCTTTCAATGTTAGTGTCCATTGATATCTGAGCATTTTCAGGTTGCTACAAACATGCTGAAATGGTACAACATAGCCAAAGTACAGCACAAACAATGTAACTCGCCTAAAAATGTATAGCACAGACAATGTTATAAGGCATGATATGGTAGTACAGCACAGACAATGTTATAAGGCATGATATGGTAGTACAGCACAGACAATGTTATAAGGCATGATATGGTAGTACAGCACAGACAATGTTATAAGGCATGATATGGTAGTACAGCACAGACAATGTTATAAGGCATGATATGGTAGTACAGCACAGACAATGTTATAAGGCATGATATGGTGGTACAGCACAGACAATGTAACCAGACATGATATGGTAGTACAGCACAGACAATGTTATAAGGCATGATATGGTAGTACAGCACAGACAATATTATAAGGCATGATATGGCAGTACAGCACAGACAATGTAACTAGACATGATATGGCAGTACAGCACAGACAATGTTATAAGGCATGATATGGTAGTACAGCACAGACAATGTTATATGGCATGATATGGTAGTACAGCACAGACAATGTTATAAGGCATGATATGGTAGTACAGCACAGACATTGTTATATGGCATGATATGGTAGTACAGCACAGACAATGTTATAAGGCATGATATGGTGGTACAGCACAGACAATGTTATAAGGCATGATATGGTGGTACAGCACAGACATTGTTATAAGGCATGATATGGTAGTACAGCACAGACAATGTTATAAGGCATGATATGGTGGTACAGCACAGACAATGTTATAAGGCATGATATGGCAGTACAGCACAGACAATGTAACTAGACATGATATGGCAGTACAGCACAGACAATGTTATAAGGCATGATATGTTAGTACAGCACAGACATTGTAACTAGACATGATATGGTAGTACAGCACAGACAATGTTATAAGGCATGATATGGTAGTACAGCACAGACAATGTTATAAGGCATGATATGGCAGTACAGCACAGACAATGTTATAAGGCATGATATGGCAGTACAGCACAGACAATGTTATAAGGCATGATATGGTAGTACAGCACAGACAATGTTATAAGGCATGATATGGTAGTACAGCACAGACAATGTTATATGGCATGATATGGTAGTACAGCACAGACAATGTTATATGGCATGATATGGTAGTACAGCACAGACAATGTTATATGGCATGATATGGTAGTACAGCACAGACAATGCAACCAGACATGATATGGTGGTACAGCACAGACAATGTTATATGGCATGATATGGTAGTACAGCACAGACAATGTTATATGGCATGATATGGTAGTACAGCACAGACATTGTTATATGACATGATAGATATGGTAGTACAGCACAGACAATGTTATATGCCATGATATGGCAGTACAGCACAGACAATGTAACCAGACATGATATGGCAGTACAGCACAGACAATGTAACCAGACATGATATGGTAGTACAGCACAGACAATGTTATATGGCATGATATGGTAGTACAGCACAGACAATGTAACCAGACATGATATGGCAGTACAGCACAGACAATGTAACCAGACATGATATGGTAGTACAGCACAGACAATGTTATATGGCATGATATGGTAGTACAGCACAGACAATGTAACCAGACATGATATGGCAGTACAGCACAGACAATGTAACCAGACATGATATGGTAGTACAGCACAGACAATGTTATATGGCATGATATGGTAGTACAGCACAGACAATGTAACCAGACATGATATGGTAGTACAGCACAGACAATGTTATAAGGCATGATATGGTAGTACAGCACAGACAATGTAACCAGACATGATATGGTAGTACAGCACAGACAATGTAACTAGACATGATATGGTAGTACAGCACAGACAATGTAACTAGACATGATATGGTAGTACAGCACAGACAATGTAACTAGACATGATATGGTAGTACAACACAGACATTGTAACTAGACATGATATGGTGGTACAGCAAAGACAATGTAACTAGACATGATATGGTGGTACAGCACAGACATTGTAACTAGACATGATATGGTAGTACAGCACAGACAATGTTATAAGGCATGAT